GATTAATAAATATTGAAAATAAAGGAATAAAAGTGAGATAGAAGTCAAAGTGGACTATTTTTTCCAAAATTTAGGAAAGTGTTAATACCTAATATTGGTGAGGGTGTGGGAAACCTGCCCTCATAGTTGTGTGCCCTAGCACACCCTTTCTGCAGGGCAAATTGCTAGCACCTACTCAAAGCCTTACTATATGCATATTTCTACCAGCCAATTCCAAGCATGGAAATGTAAAGTAAGAGGAGTGCCAAAGGCTGACGGCCTTGGCAATGATTTCTTAAATTTGACACCAAAAGTAAAGGCAACAAGTGCAAGAATAAGCAAGTGGGACTACACCAGCCTAAAAAACCTCTGCACAGAAAAGAAAACCATCAACAAAATGAAAAGGCACCTAGAGCAGGGAAAAAATATTTGTAAGTCATATATCTGATAAAGGATTAATTTCCAAAATATACAAACAATTCATACAGCTCAACAGCAAAAAACAAAAAAACAAAAAAAAAACAAAAAAAAAAACAAAAACCAACAAAAAAACCAAAACAAAACAAAAACAAAACACAATTAGATTAAAGAATGGGCAGAGGATCTGAATAGACATTTTTCTAAAGCAGACATACAGATGGCCAACAAGTACATGAAAAGATGCTCAACATCACTAATCATCATAGAAATGCAAATCAAACCCACAGTGTGATATTACCTTATACCTGTTGGAATGGCTATGATTAAAAAGACCAAAAAAGAAAAAAAAAAGAAAAAAGAACACCAATAAGCGTTGGCGAGGATTTGGAGAAAAGGGAACCCCTGTGCACTGTTGGTAGGAATGCAAATTAGTGCAGTCACTATGGAAAACAGCATGGAGATTCCTCAAAAAATTAAAAATAGAACTTCCATATGATCCAGGAGTTCCACTTCTGGGTTTTTTTCCAAAGAAAAAAAGAGAATACTAACACGCAGCCCCATGTTCATTGCAGCATTATTTACAATAGCCAAGATATGGAAGCAACTTGTGTCCATTGATAGATGAATGGATAAAGAAAATGTGCTCCCCCACATGCCCACAATGGAGTATGATTCAGCCATAAAAAGTTATTGCACAGTGGAAGGAGTTTAAACTTGAGCGTCAAAAGATCCAGCTGTGTGGGTATTTGGCAAGTCCTCAACAAAGCATTTAACCCTTTAGGACTCAGAACTCTGTGAAATTCATGACTCCTGGGACACATCCGAAGACCAGTCTGACTTACTCAGTGACAGCTTTGTGCAAGCCCAGCCCAGTCCAGCCCTGGTTCAGAAAATATGTAATTAGTCTTTAAACGAGGAGTGTGTGGTGTTAAGAGAATGTGGAAAGGAAAATCCTTATTTGATCATTTCCATACTTGTCCTGTGTTAAGATTAAATATAAAAAATGTGAGAGGTGATACAATTAGATTTGTTGCAATCTAAAGTCACCCAAGTGAGGAAAACAACATCTCTGTTGTTTGAAGGGTCTTAAATCAATGTCCTAGTGCTGTCTGACTTCTAGGCTATGTGGATAAACTTGATTTCAGTATTTACTCTTAGATTTTAAAAAATCTTGAATTTTTTGTCTTGAATTTTTAGCCCTCTCTTCCTTTTTTCTGCTCTATAGTGAGTATACTCATGTGTTGGATACAAAGGGAGGAAACCCTACCACTTGGCTCACTGGAGGCCCAGGCTCTCTGAGCAGCAAAAGGACACTTCTCTGCAGGAAATCCTTATCTTGTTTTTAAAGGGCTGTTTTTTGTTTTTGTTTTTTTTAAAAAATATATTTTATTGATTTTTACAAAGAGAAAGGGAGAGGGATAGAGAGTTAGAAACATCAATGAGAGAGAAACATTGATCAGCTGCCTCCTGCACGCTCCCTACCAGGGACGTGCCCGCAACCAAGGTACATGCCCTTGACCGGAATCGAACCTGGGACCCTTGAGTCCGCAGGCCAACGCTCTATCCACTGAGCCAAACCAGTTAGGGCGAAAGGGCTGTTTTTATATTGTGAGTGCAGACTCATTCATTCACAAAATCCACTGAGCTCCCATGTGCTGGGCCACAGGGGTGGGGGAAATAATGACCACACCAGACAAGTTCCGCACATTTTTGGACCTCACCATCCATACAGGAGAATGGCAATAATCAGATCTCCACACAAAGGTGTATTTAGACAATGTGAGCAATGCTGCAATGAAGAAACACAGAAGCACCCTGGCCGGTCTGACTCAGTGATTGGAGTGTCAGCCTGTGCACCAAAGGGTCTTGGGTTTGATTCCCGGTCAAGGGCACACACCTCGGTTACAGGCTCAATCCCTGGCCCCAGTTGGAGCTCGTGCAGGAGGCAATCAATCAATGTGTCTCTCCCCACACCCCACACACCCCTGCCTCTCTCGCTTCCACTCTCTCAAAAAAAAAAAATCAATGGGAAAAATATTTTCGGGTGAGGATCAACAAAAGGAAGGAAGGAAGAAGAAAGAAACACAAGAATCAAAGAAAACCTAGAAAGTGGGGTGAGCCCTAGCCAGTTTGCTCAGTGGATAGAGCATCCGCCTGAAGGGGGTTTGATTCCTGTCAAGGGCACATGCCCAGGTTGCCGGCAGGGGGTATGCAGCCGATCAATGATTCTTTCTCATCATTGATGTTTCTATCTCTCCCTCTCCCTTCTTCTCTGAAATCAGAAAATAATATATTTTAAAAAAATTTTTTTTAAGTGGAGCGAGACTGGAAGGTGATCAAAGACGTCTCTTGAGGAACTGACCGTTGAAATTGAAGGATGAGAGGGGGTTATTGAGGGAAAGGAGAGGCGGCCCCAGGCCAGAGGCCTAGGAGAAGCAAACTGCTGGAGAGAAGTTTCCTTCAACTTCCCCATGCACTCTTCTCAATCTCAGGGGCAGTTATGCAATCCGTTTCTTCTGGAAACTCCACCTACGTTTGCAAATTAATGTTCTCAAGTCACTTGAAACCAACCCACCTTTAAAAATATTCATGAACCTCTCATTTATCAAATGCTGTCACATGTTTTATTTCCCCATCACACATCACTATGGTGATTTCTTATGAATTCTTAGCTCTCTTTTACCTGTTCCTGCTCTATAGTGAGTGAGTTATGTGTTGGGTGGGAGGTGAAAAAATCCTTGCATTTGGTTCACTATGACTGGACTCTTCAAGCCACAAGAAGACACCACTCCCTGCGATAAATCTGCTGATCATACGTTTAAAGGGCAAGAGTCTCCTTTTCCAGAACACATCTCCAGAGGTGATGTTTAAAACTGTTTGAAAAGCACTAGTGGGAAATGCATTCTTTTTCAGCTTCTTGAATTAGGGACACAGAATAGAAGCTTAAGAAGAGAGCAAAGAAAGTAGCTGGGGCATCTATCTGTGGGTGTAAACAGTGGGCACACAGAAAATGCCCTACCACATTTCAGGAATGTGAACGGTCTTTATCCCCTCACTCTGCCCTATTTAAAAAAAATTTTTTTTTTTAAATTGATTTCAGAAAGGAAGGGAGAGGGAGAGATAGAAACATCAATGATGAGAATCATTGGTCAGCTGCCTCTTGCACCCCCCTCCCCAGTCCCCCCTCCCCCCCTACTGGGGATCGAGCGGGGCAACCGCAATTGGGGCATGTGCCCTTGATAGGAATCAACTCAGGATCCTTCAGTCCACAGGCCGAGGCCCTATCCACTGAGCAAAACCAGCTAGGGCAGCCCAATTTTAAGAAGAGGCAAGAAGATAAGGGGGGGGGGGGGCGGTCCTAAACTCATCTAAAAGTTACCGGACGTCATGTGAGGCAAAGAAGAAAAATAAAAGGAGAAAACAATATTATAGAGGAGGATTTGTCTGGAGTGGAACACACCCCGCCCCCCTCCCCTAGGCACACCATCTCAAGTTCTGTAATTCAACGCCCACAATACTCCACTCCACATAGAAACCAGGTTCTTCATAAGCCCCCAGTTACTAGAAATAGACACAGAAATAGTTATCAAAACTTCTAGGGAGAAAAAAATGGGGGGTTTACCCCCACACAAAGTGGGGGGGGGGATTGTTAATACAATGCTTCTGTCCTCTGTGCCGCACTTTTTACCGCCCCCAGGGGAAGGACAGCCTCTGTGGGTGCCCAGGGCATCTCCCTGCAGCAGGCCGCCCTCTCTCCCAGGGGCAGCTCTCTGCCCTGGCAGACAGCGGCCCGGCACGTCGGCGTCTGCAGCCTGTCTGGTCCCTCCCGCCCGGAGTCACTGCGACAAGACGCGCCGGCTTCCCCGGCGCGTGGGTTGTGGAGCCAGAGCCGCAACACCTACAGGGGCGTGTGGTGAGCTTCCCTCCTGGCAGCATCGGTTAAAAGTCACTGGTGCCAGTTAATACAGGACCCACCCGGCAGCGGGCCCAGAGCTCTGCGGGGATGGGGAGAGCGCAGCGCGGTGGGGCCGCATCCCTGGCCGGCGCTGCCAATCTCTCCAGGAACGTTCCAACCCCAAGTTCTGTCCTCAGGGGGGCCACGCGGGAAGGTGAAGGGCACGTGGAGCCCGCCACACCCCGCTGGTGCAGATCAGGAAACGGGGTGGGGGTGCGGCGGAAACTCCTGGAGCCCGGGGAGTTCTAAGAATCTCTCCCAGGGAAGCCGCTCATGAAAATGCCAAGGGCATCTCTCCGCTTTTCATGATGTAACTTACCCGGTTGGGAGAATATGCATTTTATGCATTTAACTCTAAGGCGGAAAGTCTCTAAATAGACAGCATGTCAAGCCCTGGGAGCACCTGATGTCTGAGTGGCCCTGGCTGCCACCAGGCAGGTGGACTCCCCCTTCGTCCTCCCGGCCACACTCGGCGCCAGGAGCCGGCTGGGTCGCTGCGGGGATGGCGCCCTCTCCGCCCCGCAGGCTCGGCTCCCGCCCGTCCCCGCCGCGGAGTCGCCTGGACCACTGGTCCGCCGGCCACGCAGCCGCTGCCCCTCCCTCCCTCCCTCCCTCCCTCCCCCGCGTACACCTGGCCCACGGTTACCTGCGGGGCCGCGGCTCTGAGCAGCCCATTGGCCGGCCCCCCGCCGCCCTTGCCGTTGACCGCGGGGTGATGACCGACCCCGGGCGCCCGCGCCGCGCCCTCCCCCGGGCCCGCGCCGTTCTCTCGGGGGTCGTCATCCGGCGCCGGGAAGAGCCCGCAGCGGCGCTGGAAGCGGGCGACGAGCTGGGAGTCCTGCAGGCTCCGCAGCAGCTCGGCCATGGTGCGCCCGGCGCCGCCGCCGCGCTAGGGCCTCTGCCAGCACCGTCCCCGCCTGTGCACCAGCCGCGCGGCTCCCGGGGCGCAGAGCGGGCGAGGCCCGGGCACCTGCCCACAGGTGCGCCGCTCGGGTCTGGGTCCTAGCGCCCGCCCTGCGCACGGAAGCCCAGCAGGACGCCTCCGCCCCACGCCGGCACGTCCGCCGCCTTTCTTCCCCGCGGGCTCGGGCGCTCCCCGGAGTCTGCCGACCGGGACTGGGCGGAGCTGCACAGGTGCCTAAACGCCCCTGTTCCCACGACCGCGCCCCCACCCGCTCCCGGCGGGCTCAGAGGTGCCACCTAAAGGGGCGCGGCCGAGCGTGTGTGGACCTCGGGAGTCCATCCTGCCGCGTGCGGCTGGTCCCATGGGTGACCCTCCTTTCCCTCTTGAGCCCAAGGTGGGGTAGGATTTCCCCTCCAGCCCCCGCACCCAGCCCTCTACTCTGGCCTTTGACCAGTTCCTGCAGGGAAAGTCCCCGAGTTGGTTCCTTACACTACATGCTGCGACATCTCGCCACAGGCCCGAGCTTCCCACCTTGCTCAAGAGCCGAGGAGGTCGATTCAGAGTGGGCCTGAGTCAGCCGCCGCGGCCCTGCCCCTGCCCCGTGGTTTGACAACTGGGGCAACGCTTTAAACTTGTAGGTAGAAAACGCGATTCCTTCTGGACTGTCTGCTTTGAAAAAGGGGTCGCTTGCCCCTCCTCCTACCTCCTCCCCCGCCTCTATTTACACAATGACTCGGGGACCGGGGAACAAGATCTTTGGGGACCTTTAGACCCAAAGGGAACAAGGCGCGGAGGGACTGGGCGGTGGCTTTGACATCTCACGCACCTCCATGTATTTGACAATCTGTGCAGTGCCTGCTCTAGGGACCTCTGTGGAACAGCTAAGGAAACGACCTGGAGGGGTTGGTTTTCTTCCCTCCCTCCTCAGTCCATTTCCAGGGGGCTGAGATCCCCTGTAAGGACCTTTGCTTTCTCACAAGGCGTGAGAGCAGCAGTCAAATTGGGCCCAGCCATCTGCCAGCAACAAAAGTGCAATTCAATCCTCTGTCTTGTTTGCAGCAGAAGGTGCGCCTTTCCCGGTAGCCTGTCCAAAGCCTGCTAAGCATTTGGTTACACAAATGACTGTCAACAAGCGCCTGCCACTACCTTGTTTATTCCGTCTGCTTTCAGTCTAGGAAGTCTCAGGGCTGTAGCTTTCAAGGATTTGGTCTCCCTCATGACTTCGTTTCCGCTCTCCTTCCCAAAACTGTTTGGAGAGCAAGATCAAGGTGGCAGAGAGAGCAATGAACTCTTAGGAGATGCCATTTCCATTTATTTTACGGAAGAAGCACAGAGCTGCCCTCACAATCCAGCTGGGCTACACGGATGTCCAGTCATGGACACAGAAGGCTCCTTCCATATGGTTGCTGGGCCAGACCCTGTGATTTAGTTTTAAAAGCTGGAGTTGTAGTAGGTCAGGACCTGATCTTTATCTGTGTTAAAACAACAACAGCCTGTTCTCCCATGAAGACACTTGAATAATGTGTCTCCCAAATTTGGTCTTCAATTTTCCTCTCTCCCAATTAGGAAAAGGTGGCAAAGCAAAACATGGTACAGGCAGCAGAAGGCCACAGAATTGTAATAGTCAGACAACGCATTTTCTCTCCTGGGAGGAGCAGGCACATCTAGCCTCCAGTGACTGTTGGCTCAGTTTCTTCCTGTGATAAAACAATAATCCTCACTTCTTACCTTTCCTACAAGGCTGGTGTGTGTCGGGGTCTTTGGCTTATGGCAGTATCACTCAATCTCTTCCTCTGCTGTCACATGGCCTCCCTGTGTGACTCTGTGTCCAAGTCTCCCTCTTCTTATAAGGACACCAGTCATTGGTTAGGGTCCACTCTAATCCAGTATGATCTCATCTTAATGGGATCGAATTTGCAAAAATTTTATTTCCAAATAAGGCCACATTCACACGTTCTGGGTGGACATGAGTTTTTGGGGAACACTATTCAACCCAGCACAAGTACTCAGTAGTTTCATACTATGACTAATTAAATCACCTTTTCTCCCCCCAGCAGCCCTACGAAGTAGTCACTCACCCTCCATGTATTTGACAATCTGCACAGTGCCAGGCACTGTTCTAGGCCTGGGGAGACATCAGTTTAAAACAGAGCCCCTTAATTATGGAACTTGTTTTGTAGTAGGGGAGACAGAAAATAGGAAATCAAATAATATGTGCTTGTAGGGCATGATAAGTGCTCTGAAGAGAGAAAGCATGGTGGGTGGTGCAGGGGGATGACATTTAGGTAACGAGGTTCCTGAGAAGGGGACATTTGTACAGGAGACCTGCTCAAATCTTAGCAAGATCAGCAGAAAGAGCATTCCAGACAGAGGAAACTGCAGTTGTAGAGGCCCAGTCAGGCCCAAAGCAAAATGCCTTAAAAATAAAAAATAAAAAAATAACCAACACAAAGAATCTTTCGAAGGCGATGGATATGTTCATTATCTTGACTGTAGTTGTCATTTCATGGGTATATACATGTGTCTTATCAAATTATAAAAAATCTTATCAAACATATCAAATCATACATGTTAAATATGTGCATTTATTGTACAATAGTTATATCTCAATAGGGCTGCTAGAAACATAAATAAATAATAAATAAATAAAATGCATATATGTGTGCATATGCATGCACATGCAAAAAAATGAAAAGGAACACACACACACACAAAAAACAACAGGGGGAAATACCTGTTTGTTAGGAGCTAACAGGAACTTTCAGGTTTTACTCTATGTTCTTGACTTTTGTTTGAATTTTTCACAGACATGTATTACATATGTAACTTTTTATACAGGTGTTTAACATAAAACAATATAGAATACTTCGTGGACAAAAGAGATTAACTGCATGAGCCCACCCATAGGGTTACTTAAAAAAATTGTTTTGGAACTCTTTTACTAGTAACTGGTCAGACTTGGTTAGAGAAAGATGCAGGTTTTTAAGATCCTATATAATAAAAGGCTAATTTGCAAATTGACTGGTTGCTATGAGGCTCACTGACCACCAGGGGGCAGACGCTCAATGCAGGAGCTGCCCCCTGGTGGTCAGTGCACTCCCACAGGGGGAGCGCTGCTCAGCCAGAAGCTGGGCTCACGGCTGGTGAGTGTAGCGGCAATGGCGGGAGCCTCTCCTGGACTGTGAGAGGGTGCAGGCTGGGCTGAGGGACTCCCCCACCCCCCGAGTGCACAATTTCATGCACTGAGCCTCTAGTATTTATATAAAAGAGATCATTGTGAGCAATGAAACCAAGAGATAATGTAGGCCACCAAGTAATACCTGTCTTCCTCACACAGTTAACAATACCCCTGCCAAACTCACCTGATAGTAACAATTTTTAATTTTTAAAAATTTTTTATTCATTGGTATATTTTTATTGATTTCAGCAAGGAAGGGAGAGGGAGAGAGAGATAGAAACATCAATGTTGAGAATTATTGATCCAGTATCTCCAGCATGCCCCCTACTGTGGATTGAGCCTACATACAAGGCATGTGCCCTGAACTGGGAATGGAACGGGTGACTTCTTAGTGCATGGGTCAATGCTCAACCACTGAGACATACCAGAGGAGCAGACAGTAACAATTTTTAAAAACACGTGGCCTAGGGGCTTTTGAGTTTCCAGTTCTACAACCTAATGAGTCATCTTGTGAGAAGGGCCGTGGGCAGCGAAGGGTGCAGTGTGGACAGGTGTTCTTCAGGTCTCAGTGTTCTTCCCTGTTGAGGGCAGGGGACTGAAGGTCCTTTCAGCTGTGACAATGACTGCTGGCCGACAACCAATCTGTAACCGGCCGGAGCACATAGGACTGCAGAGCCCACTCTATACAAAAGCCCTATCCATCCACCTGCTGACACAGGTTCTTGGGATTAGCCTACACCAGGGCTTCAGCCATCAGCATTCCTGAAGCCCTGAGGCCCCTGAACACAGTCTGCTGACACGTTGGTTCCAGCTACCGACGCACTGGAACCAACAGGCAGACCACAGGCCTCAGAGTCTGGCGCACACCTTGATCTTAAAAATAGAATTGCCAACATTTAAATATCAGATAATACTATTATGTAAAATATAGAATTCTAGCCTCTCTTTAAAAACTGGGAACTCTGACATCACCATGCCACGATTCATGGTGGCAATAGCCGAGCTGAATATCTGCTGCTCTCTCTAGACTGGACATCATTCTGGAGTTTTCCACAGCTCTCCCCACTCTGTATTATTTTATATCCTCCTTTGATGGCGCATTTCATTGCCAGCTTGGCCCCTGAAGCATTTGGATTTACATCCACTGCACTTATCCTATCTAATAAAAGAGAAACATGGTAATTGGCGTACGACCGCTACCCTTCCCATTGGCTAATGAGTGAGATATGCAAATTAACTGCCAGCCAAGATGGCGGCCGGCAGCCAGGCAGCTTGAAACTAACATGAGGCTTGCTTGCTTCAGTGATGGAGGAAACCAACGTTCCCCGCCTGCCGCTGCAGGCCTCTGAGCCTGCAGTTTCAAACATTGTAACAAATATAGAAGCTAAACAAAACCCCAGAAACCAGCTTTCAGCGAGCCCGGGATCTCAGAGCTGGAGTTGATACAGAGTTTCGAATATAGAACCAAAACAAACCAGATACCTGCTTTCAGGGGCGGAGGCCTAAGAGCTGGAGCCTCAGAGCTAAAGCTGGCCCAGAATAAAAAAAAAGAAAAAAAGAGCAGTTGGGAGCTTCAGTACCAGCCTGAAAACAGCCCTCAGCCCCTCACCCAGACTGGCCAGGCACCCCAGTGGGGTCCCCCACCCTGAAGGGTGTGTGACCAGCTGCAAACAGCCATCATCCCCTCACCCAGGCTGGCCAGGCACCCCAGTGGGGACCCCCACCCTGATCCAGGACACCCTTCAGGGCAAACCAGCCAGCACCCACCCATGCACCAGGCCTCTACCCTATATAGTAAAAGGGTAATATGCCTCCCAGCACCGGGATCAGCGGAGCTGCGAGGCCTCCTGGCACCGGGATCAGTGTGACAGGGGGCAGTGCCCAAACCCCCTGATCGCCCTGAGGCTCTGTGTGTGACAGGGTGCGGCGCTCCAACCCCCTGATCGGCCCTGCTCTGTGTGTGACAGGGTGTGGCGCCCCAACCTCCCCTCT